ATCAATTTGATCTGGTTGAACTGTAAAGTGCCTTGAGATGACATGTGTTGTGAATTTGGCGCTATATAAATAAACTGAATTGAATTGAATTGAATTGAAAGTTACTGTAACACCATAAAATATTGTTGTGATTAATGATCATCTTTGTTTCTGATTTTAGTATCAAAGGCAGCCATAGTGTAGAGAAATATGGAATAAAACATTAGTGATGTTTAGTGTAGCACCAGCTACATTAGCCTACCTAATTCATTTATGTTAGCTTAGCTAATATAGCTTGTACCGGCGAGCTAAGTCATGATGTCATTACTCTGCAGGACATTCAAAGCAATAAAGCCGGTAGATTTTTGATGGACTGCCTCCATGGACTTCATGCTGTGAAGCACCTCCATCGTCTCGGCACTCCTGCTGCTCGTTAAATCATTAACCCACTTAATAACAGATTGTCGGCTAATTGCTGCGTCGCACATGTTTCCCTCCTTCAGCTCTCACAGGTCGATACTGACAGCAAAACAGAGACTTTCTGCAAATAGTTCATGAGTATCATAGACTTTACACTGGAAAAAAATCAAAATCTAAATAAGTCATTTTTGTCTTGAAATAAGTGCACTTGTTCTTATGCTGGTGACGATTCTCAGTCATCCAGGTAGGAGTCATTCCAAAAAAGTTTAAAACAATCCTCTGGACTTTGTTTCCAAGTTTGAAGACGTTTCTCTTCCATCCAGGAAGCTTTTTTAATTCAAAATGTCAGAAATAGCGTCGAATTCCAGGTTTTATAGAGTGGACCAACAAAGCCTTGTTTTCGTTTAGAAAACATGCAAATTGCAAAGGTCTCTAGTATCAGCTAGAAGAGCAGCAAGGACTGTTTATAACAGTTATTTTACTGGATGCACATGTGGAAGAGAAGAAAAAAATTAAATTAAACTCCCAGCATTGAGGTTTAAATATCTCTAATATCAAAAAGCTCCCTGAGAGGAAGACTTTGAGTCTCATCACATCCCCCAAACCCCTTTACAGGAGAACAGAAGACCTCAACTATTCAGCCAGGCCAACAATTCCTTCTAACAACCCCCTTTCAGAGACATAGACAGGTATGGGGCATTGCAGGCTAATAAAGAAGCCAAATGACCCCCATTCCAAAGGGGTGGACCCGTTCATCCGTTTCTATTTGCATGTTTTCTAAACAAAAACAAGGCTTTGTTGGGCTGCTGGATAAAACCTGGAACTCAACGCTATTTCTGATATTTTGAATTGAAAAAGCTTCCTGGATGGAAGAGAAACGTCTTCAAACTTGGAAACTAAGTCCAGAGGATTGTTTTTTAAATGGAATTAATTTTTTCTTGAATTGCAGAGGGAAGTGAGAAAGCAGTGCATTGCCTAAAGGCAAGGTGATCCTTACTGTCAGTCACTGCAGCGTGGGGGAGTTGCACAGCTCTGGTTGAATACTTTAGAAAAAAATCTTAAAAACCTTAAGTCTGCAATAAAAGACAAAACCTTTAGAATAAAATAAGAGAAGAGTGGGGATGTTTGCTATAAATTGACTAAACATGTCCTGTTAGACCAATCACCATGAACTTAGTGGAAACTTTTTTAGCATGAATCAGTTCAGTCCTAGAAGATCTGTGCTGCCTTTATGTAGACGTCGTATCTACGGTTTAATCTTTCCTTTCCTCAGGAATAGACAATTTCTTGGAAATGTTATCGAGCAAATTTCTTGTTGTTCTGGATTCTGAACATTAAATAATCATGAAGCACTTTAAGACGGACAGAAGGACACAGATGAGATCCCATTTTAGAGGCAGCGAGGCGGCGACACCCACCCACAGGAGCGGCTTGTCACCTGGCGCCGCGGTAAAACGCAGCCGTCCGACCCAAACATGGCGGCTGAATAATTAATAATTAATAATCCAATCGTTTCTCCGACACACACACAGCAGCACGTGATGATACTCGTCTTAGTTCCCAGGTGTCTTCAGCTTCCATTTGCAGGGAGTTTCAACCAAGTGGAACAACTTTCACTCCACAATCATTGCATCTTTAAAAAACATTTTCTGTTGCATCTCTACGTTTTTTTCAACATGCATAATATATAGAAGTGTTGATTGTGTTTTTATTTCCTTGTGGGTCTCCTTTCCAAGCAGCGAGGACTTTAATGATTTCATGAATATCTCTATTAGACTTAGAAAGGCCCTTCTTTGCAATTTGATGGTTTAATGTTAATATTCTTCCTGCTCTCACTCTATGAGTATTCTAGTGTTTTTGTTGGATATTTTATTGATGAGTTGAATTAGAGGTCAGTCAATCTTTTCAAAGTGCCACATAAGGAGATTTTTCTGGTGTTAAAGGGGGTAAACACCATTCTGCTAAATAAGGATTTAAAAAAAGCTCTAAATCTAGAGTAACATCTGATGTTATCTGTTCAGCTCCTGCTGTTAAATGTGGTCATTATATTATATGATGGCGTAAAAGCTTCACATGAAAATGCTTGCTCCTCTTTGGTCGACATCTTGGCATGTGTAGCCTCATAATGCTAACTGGAGAAGCATTAAGTTTTATCAACAGAATTTTTTCCAGAAGCATGAGCCCCAACCTTTCTCTTTAGCTGCTGTTAACCCTTTCCAGGATAAAGGCCTGAACACACCGGGTAGAAGGACTTTTTAATCTCCGATCCAACTTTTCCATGTCCCACAGACTGCTTATAGAGAGGCTCCAACTAGGCAGGGTGAGCAGATCTGTGTAGATTGTTTTCTCTTCGGTCTCTCTGCTATACACACATTAAAATTATTTCCCACATTTAATTGTTTGGCTGTGACTCCATCCAGGAGAGAAATATCAGCTGTGCTGCTGCCATCAACATCCTTTGTTTATAGATGTTGGAACTTGGCCTGTTTTCCAGTGTAGTCCTGTTTCTCTGACTGTGACTAACTGGATGTGCTTTCTTCATCCTCTGACATGGGAGCTGGCTCGGAGCTCGTCTGCCTGGCTGTGTTTCCTGGACGGGGCCGCCTGTGGAGCTGGTTGACAGTTGCCTTTTGTATCTATGCTTCTTTTTCTATGTCTGCTTCTGTCTCCTTGAACTCCTGTCGGCCTCAGCAGATGGCCGCTCACACTAAGCCTGGTTCTGCTGGAGGTTTCTTCCTGCTCAAAGGGAGTTTTTCCTCTCCACTGTCGCTACAAGCATGTTTAGTGTGAGGGATTGCTGAAGAGTCAATGAGTCGATGCAATCAGCTGGTTTTCCTTAGATAGAAAACTTTGAATCAATCTGACTGGATGATCTGGTGAACTGGAAAGTGACCTGAGATGACATGATGTGAATTGGCGCTATAGAAATAAACTGAATTGATTGGATAAGATTATGAAAAGTTCATGTGATAAAAACCTAGCAGTGCATTCTATAAAGCAAAGCTCTACTTAACGAGTCTGTGCAGCATCTAGAACCAGAACAAATGGAGATCGTTTATCTATTAAAACATAATCAGATCTACGTCTTAAGAACAGAAAAACGCAGCAATAAACTCTGTGGGGCGGTTTCCATGGTGACTGAGGCAGAGAGGTGATTCTCAGAGAGATCTGGGAAGTTTATCCAAGTTTTTCTTTCTTTGTTCCATAAAGAGGTGAGAGAGATAAGCTGCTCTGACCTGCTCTGTCTGCTCCTCCTTATTCTGGTTTCTGTGAGGCTCAAAGACGATCACTACTTTATCCGTTCTCTGTCCTCCTGAACTCCTATCATGGGAAAAGTTTTTTATTTTAATGTTTCATTCATTGTTTTTGCTCCAGTCTGTCCTGCTTACTATAAACACGATGTGCGACTCCAGACTGACTCTTTCCCCGTCAGATTCACAGAATTGATTTAGTACTTTCCTCCAAAGCAGATGTGTTTTACTTTGTTACTGTGTCTCTCTTCCTGTCAGACCCATGAAATTGCTGCTGAATATCTGCGTAGTCCAACTAAAATAGCTAAAACCTGGGCTCTATCTAAGTCGGAGTTACGCTGCCCCCTGCAGGAAATCCTGCCCATTAACTTTCAATCAATGCTAAACGCCATGACCTCTGAGGGAGGATTTTCTGTTGGATCGAACGCAGAATCAGATTCGGTGTGTTCTGGTCTGTTGATGCTTCTGACGTGCTTGAATAGATTACTAAAGCTGGTTTCCAATTAAAAGCAACTAACCTGTATTAGCATATCTAATGACCCCCTACATTAAAGGTAAAAACAAATACACTTGCTTGTAATTTCAGGATTTCATGCAGTATTTAAATAATAGAAGATGTATTTTCCCATTAGCATTTCACTGATGTCTCATTTCTGTCTGACTTAATGGGGGACAGTTGAGATTCCCAACAAGGGAATAAAACTGCAAGATGATGGAGAAGCACCAAACCTGCAGGAGGCAGAATGAGGCAAATCTACAGAAACCTACCTCTACCCACTAGAGCAGCGACAAATCAGGAACAACACAGCATCTCCCTTGCTGGACAGAGCATCCGCTAAAATGCTGAGCTGTGCAATTGACTGAAAGCTAACTTTGAAAACTTTTTATTTACACAACCTTTCCAATGGGTTGTTCAATAGTGCTTCACCTTGGGTTGCAAACCAACCCTTGGTAACGCCCTCCTTTCTCCCAGGATGTTATTGTCTGACTTATTGTGTGACTAAACTAAACCTTTTGCATTTTAAAACATGACATTCAAAAATCAAACAAACAAATTTTATCAAACTGCAAAGGAAGAGAAACATGGAGAGGTGTTCCTTTTTTTCATGGTCGTCCTAAAAGATTTAATTTACCTGTTTGAAGAAGCATGCACTGTTTCCTTTAGCGTTAAAGAGTCAATCAGAGCTTTAGTCATCTGATCACTCCCCAAATATTTAAACCAAAAGATTAAGAAAGCTACGCCATGCCTGCACTACCTGCTGCAGAGTTTTTGGAGGGGTCCTACGCACAGCAGCTAACCCAGCAGTGGCAGACGGTTTACATAAATTCAAAAGCAAATTACATATATATTTAAGCACAATTTCCTCAGATTGAAACCACTGACTTCCTCTTTCTTACCTTTCCAAGTGGCTTGGTGTTGCTCTCCCAGGAGGGGGGTACCTGGTAAACATCTTGGCCGGTTGCAGTACCTCCAGCTGACGCAGTAGCCTTATTTAGCCCTACAGAGGGGGGCACCTGATAGATGTCTTGTGCAGATGGCTCAAATGGTCCCTGGCCTAGAGCTGAGGTCTTTTTAGGGGGTCCTGGTGGGATCTGTGTGGAGGATCCGCTCGGACCTGATGGAACTTGATATAGACTTTGGGAGCTCACCTTTGGGCCATGTGAAGGTGGCATCATGTAGACAGAGTCCATATTTGACTGTGCAGGACTGGGGGTTGAGTAGGGGGGGTGCATGGGAGTATAATGAGCTGCGGAAAGGGGCTTAGTTGGGTACACTGGTGCAGATGGCGTAGAGATGGCGGGCGTAGATTGGGCATAGGCGCTCTGAGGAAGGTGGGGTCGCTGCAACTGGGGGGTTGAACAGGAAGATGCTGGATCTGGTGTTGTAGCTGTGACCTGCTGCTGCTTACTGTCATACATGCCGACCAGGATCTTCAGACGATTCCCTGGAACGATGCCTTGGCGGCCGTGAAGAGAGCAGAGCCACCATCCGTCCAACCCCTGCGTGTCCCGCTCCAAAACCGTCATGATGTCGCCCTTACGGAAGGAAAGCTCGTCTGGAGACTCGGCCACATTGTCATACAATGCTTTGGCCAAGACGTTCTGCCAAAAAACAGAAACAAGCAACTCTGATTACCAGTCAATTAATAACTAGACAGTAAATCCATCAATTCATGTGAAAGGTAGCACACACCAATTCCCCATAAATACGACAGTGGGTCAGACATCACAGGGTGGAAAATGACAAAAAATCAATGGCAGTCAAAAGATGAATGTATGTTTGTGGCCATGTTTTAAACAGTTTTCTTGTAGCCTCACATCTGACAGACAAAGATGTCAGCAGAAGTTGAAAGTAAGATGAGGAGGAAGGGAAATATCCAAAAAATGCAGAACAGTGGGCCCTAAGGGACGGGCCTCTGGTCTCCAGTGCTGTTTTCATAGCGTCTCTTAAGGCCGGAATGGCGCTAATGTCCGACTCTACAAGCTCCTGTCCTTTTATTTGTTCTGCCATGCTGGCAGTGTAGAGGCTCCCTCTGCAGACCACCGGCCTTCTGAAATCCAACATTCGTATGAGTAAACGTATCAGAAATCCCTCTAGCATAAACAAGACAGCTGGTGAACGTAAAGCTTCAGTTTCTGCTCTAAGTTTATTGTTTCCCCTTTATCAGTTTTCTGTACTCCTGAGCTCCTACCATGGGTAAAGTACACTGTTTATGACCACCTTACCGTGTGATTCAGAGATTTTACTCTTTGTTCAGCAAACAACGAGCTAAAGGCAAAGCACACCCTAGAGAGGTTGCAAGTCTATCACAGGACCAACACAAACAAAAACTGCCTGACCTAAAAACAAATTGGGTTTTAACAAAGCAGAACTATACCTCTTATTGGACCATTCCTATATGGAGGATGTTTGCTCTAACGTTTTTAAAACAGAAACGTTAGAAAAACATCCGGTGGTCAAAGAAAATATATCAGTTCATTACAGAATGGGTCGATTATATAAAAATATAAGGAAACTTGAGGAACCATCCTCTTTAGGGACGAAACTTAGTAGGATGGTAAACAGGTCATTTAAACAACAAGAAACAGCAGCAGATCCTCTCTCTGCCTGTTGCTCTGTCCGGTCTTTAAGTGAGAGCATTTCCTCAAGCACAGTGTGACATGAACTCACGTAAAGCTGTGAAACCTTAAGGCCATTGATGGGGAGGAAGTTTGCAGAAAAATGAGCTTTGGCTGCATCAGGGCAACAGAAGAAGCACTGCTAGGATCCTTTATGAGGATCTACCAATTAATCTCCAGGCAACCTTACATAAATGACAAATAGAATAAGCAAAAATCCAAACATGGAGCCTTTGGATGGTGGATGGTTTTATAAATCCAGAAACTAGTGGTCACTCTGAGGGAGAGGGTGTGTTCCTGTGTTTGGATGGATGGATGGGTGACGGATGGATGGATGGATGATGGATGGATGGATGGGTGATGGAAGGATGGATGGATTGGTGACGGATGGATGGATGGGTGATGGATGGATGGATGATGGATGGATGGATGGGTGACGGATGGATGGATGGATGGATGGATGGGTGACGGATGGATGGATGGGTGATGGATGGATGGATGATGGATGGATGGATCAATGGATGGATGGGTGACGGATGGATGGATGGGTGACAGATGGATGGATTGGTGAAGAATGGATGATGGATGGATGGATGGATGATGGATGGATGGGTGACAGATGGATGGATGGGTGACGGATGGATGGATGGATGATGCATGGATGATGGATGGATGATAGATGGATTGAGGGTCGGATGGATGGATGATGGATGGATGGAGGGTCGGATGGATGATGGATAGTTGGATGGATGGATGGATGGATGTCGTGATCATGGGCGTGATGTGACTGTTTAAGGACCAACCATGGTACAGGAAGTAACTGTCTGACCAACCGGCCCAGTTGGACACATTCACTAACCTTAGCCTTTTAAAGTCTAAAAACAGGTTTCATTTCTGGGTAACAGGAGGAAGATCTCAATTTGTCAGACTGATAGTGATAAAGCACACAGCCACATTGATCTGACGTATTTATCTGCATTAGTCCAATCTGGTGTGCAGGTTGAAGGGCCGAGTGACGCAGCCGTGCACGAGCTGGAAGTCAGTGTGCAAACAGAAACACCTTCAGCCTCAGTGGAACGCTTTGAAACTAAATCAATATTTGCCTTTGGCGTCTGACCTCAGCCGTCTCCACTCCTCCTAAGCGTCAGAGTCCAACCCCAGTTATCAGGGCCTGGTACAGGCGGTACTGGCTCCGGGCCCACTCACTCTCACACTCAGCCTCTGAAGCATAAAGTCCTGCCAATCTGAAATGGGTCTTGGCTTTGATAGCTGAACCATTTCAAGCACTTTCTGGCTGCTCTGTGTTTAGGATGCCAAGTCAGTGACAAGTTAAAGTGTTTAAAACCCCAAATTTATTTAAGTTCAAAGATTGTTTTTAAAAACAAAGGATGGAGCTAGAAATAAAACAGTGAAGAAAGAAGGGAACAAATCAATACTAGAGTAGAAATCACTTAAACACTATCAGGGAAGGGGAAGTGTAACGCAGAAATCCTCCCATTCCTCTGAGGATTCAGCGCGTCCTTCAGCCACCCGCTTCTCTGCCCTTTCCTCCAAATTTGATATGAACTCATTTAGACTTGCTGAGTCACACGTTCCAGCCCAGTTTAGACTCTGGCTTCTAAGCTTCCTTATTCCTGTTCTAACGTCGGCGTCCATTCAAGCAGACTTTTTAGACACAGGAGCCTCTAAAAGCACAACAATGGAGATACAAGAGCTCTGGGAAGATCTTCAAAATGCCATTCCCTACATAATGCCATCCCCTCAAATAATGCCATCCCCTACATAATGCTATCCCCCTCACATAATGCCATCCCCTACATAATGCCATCCCCTCACATAATGCCATCCCCTACATAATGCCATCCCCTGCATAATGCCATCCTCTCACATAATGCCATCCTCTCACATAATGTCACCCCCTACATAATGCCATCCCCCTCACATAATGCCATCCCCTCACATAATGCCATCCCCTACATAATGCCATCCCCTACATAATGCCATCCTCTCACATAATGCCATCCCCTACATAATGCCATCCTCTCACATAATGCCATCCCCTACATAATGCCATCCCCCTCACATAATGCCATCCTCTCACATTATGCCATCCCCTACATAAGGCCATCCCCTACATAATGCCATCCCCTCACATAATGCCATCCCCTCACATAATGCCATCCCCTACATAATGCCATCCCCTACATAATGCCATCCTCTCACATAATGCCATCCTCTCACATAATGCCATCCCCTACATAATGCCATCCCCCTCACATAATGCCATCCTCTCACATAATGCCATCCCCTACATAATGCCATCCCCTACATAATGCCATCCCCTCTCATAATGCCATCCTCTCACATAATGCCATCCCCTACATAATGCCATCCCCTACATAATGCCATCCTCTCACATAATGCCATCCCCTCACATAATGCCATCCCCTCACATAATGCCATCCCCTACATAATGCCATCCTCTCACATAATGCCATCCCCTCACATAATGCCATCCTCTCACATAATGCCATCCCCTACATAATGCCATCCCCTACATAATGCCATCCCCTCACATAATGCCATCCTCTCACATAATGCCATCCCCTCACATAATGCCATCCCCTACATAATGCCATCCCCTACATAATGCCATCCGCCTACATAATGCCATCCGCCTACATAATGCCATCCCCTACATAATGCCATCCCCTACATAATGCCATCCCCTCACATAATGCCATCCCCTCACATAATGCCATCCCCTACATAATGCCATCCCCTACATAATGCCATCCGCCTACATAATGCCATCCCCTACATAATGCCATCCCCTACATAATGCCATCCCCTCACATAATGCCATCCCCTACATAATGCCATCCCCTACATAATGCCATCCCCCCACTTCCTCACCCTCTCGGCCGTATCTAGACCCACAGCGAGTTCCTGATTGGCCCTCTGGCGTTGTGGCGATGAATAACATAGCGCAAACCATGCTTCAATATGGGACATAAATAAAAAATATTTGCGACACACTGCTGCAGGATGATAACCAGACCTGTAGGCTGGATGTTCAGACACAGCCTGTTATAACTGTTTTTCTAAATTTGCAATATACTTACATTTTTATTTATTTTTTGTGATATTGTCAAAGTAAATTTCTCAATTTATACAAATAGTTAAAGGCAAAAAAACTCGACTTTTCTTTATAGACACTGCATGAAAAGTGGGATTTTCGTTAATATGCGGCACTGTAGATTGTCGTGGAACTTCAGGTTAGCGGCAGTTTACGACAATTTGCAGGCTTCGCCGAAAACTCCCGTAAATTGTCAGAAATTGACGTGGACTCTCTTAGGCAGTGTTCCCCCCATGCCTCCCCGCCATGGAATTCTAGGGGAGGCTTTAACATGTAAATGAACATGCTGTGAGCTATACAAATGCAAACCAGGGTTGCAGGGGGGGTTTTACCCCAAGTGACATCTTTCTGGGTAAGAAAATCTCTGATACAAAGAGATCAGGCTCAGTATAGCCTCTTACATTTTAGCTTGAATTGATTTATTTAATTAAAGTATAGAGACCAAAACAGATCTTTAGCTGACAGAGCAATACATTTAGAGCAATAATTATAAAAAAAAAAATTGCATTTAAGATAAAAAATAAAATGTTGTCTGTCAATATGCTCAATTCACAATTACTTAAGTGAAAAAGTTTCAAGAAATGAGTCTGAGATGATTCACTTTATAACATGGCGCATTATCCTGTTGGAAGTAGCCATGAGAAGATTGGTACACTGTGGTCATAAGGTCCGGCCAGGTCAAGATCCGCAATTGCAATCGCACCAAACAGGAAAAAGAACATCGACAAATTCCGGTTCGTCAAATTAAAATATAGCAGCAACAGATCGGTGACTAGAAATTATAGCACAATTCTTATATATATATATATATAAAAAAAAAAAAAAACTAACACCGTTTATTTAA